TTATAAATATATATATATATATATATATATATATATATATATATATTATTGAAATCAGGGCATTTTTAATATTCTCTTAATTTTATGGAATAATAATTTTTCCAATTTTTTAATTTGTAAATTATGAACAATTGATAATAATGAATTGGAATGGAAATTTTTTTTTATTGAAAATTTTATCATTATTTTATATTATATATTTTATATTTTATTATAATTATTATAATTATATATTTTATATTTTATATTATATAAAAAATTAAAAAATTCATTAAAAGTAGAAATAGTTTTAAAATATCTTAACTTTGAAAAACAAAACAGAACTGGTAGTTTCGGTATTAGATATTTCTTATTTAAGAAAATTTTATACTGAAAGTGAAAAGATTTAATGAAAGTTTGATGTCATTAACATATCGCGTGCAAGATTACAATTTCTATTCATCTACTATCTCATATACATTGTATAATAAAAATAAGATTTCTTTTTATATTTACTGTTTGAATTTCTCTAATTTATTTATATTAAAGAAATTATTGCAACAAAATCTTAATTTTTCTATAATTTTTATCGTAAGTCCAATTAAAAAAATAAATGAGATTTTTAGTTGCGAGATCTTTGCATAAATAAATCAGTTTTATTCATTCACGAAAAAGAGCATTTTTAATGATGAAAGAAAAATCAATCGTACAGAAGTCAATCGATAATCAGATTTATTAAGTCATTTCATATTTTAAATTTTAAAACATTAATCACATAATTTGCTATTAAAATCAAACAATGTTTTTGTAAATATTTTTCGTTGATTATTAGATTTATGACGAATAATATTTAAATATATATATATATATTTATAAAGATTTAACGGGATTCATAAAACGATTTATTTAGAAATCAAATTGATCAATTCTCAATTTTGCCGTCAAAATATCATTGATTAAAATGATTAAAAGTTAAAAGTTTGATTTTTATGTGGCTCAAATGTTATAATTTTTTTTTGCAGATTGTATATGGTGAATAACAAAATGGTGCAATATGCGATAGTTGTAGAAAATGCTAGGAAAGCATATGGAGAGAAGGCAGTTATTTTAAACAATTTAAATCTTTTTGTTCCTTTGAATACAATGTAAGTAAAAATATAATAAATATAAAATAAAAATTAAAAACTAATAAAATGAAATTTTATTTATTAATAAATTTTAATTAAATTAATCAATTAACTTGTCTCGAATAAGTTTATATAAATAAAATTACTAACTTATTAGTAGTATCTTTTTATTCTTTACTTTAGAATTTTATAAATAGAACATTACATTTATAAATCGTATCATTTGTAAAATTTATTTAAAATGATTTATTAGATTATTATCAAACTTATCATTGTTATTTGTAATTCATGATTTGTTAAAAATAAAATGATTTATTCTGTAAAATTAATAATATTAATACAATTAAAAAAAATTTAATTATTAAATGTAATTATATTTATTATTGTGTAGCAATAAATTGAACAATTATTTATTTATGATTATGATTGTAGTTATATTATTTATGATTGTAATTAAAATTGTAATCATATACAGTTTTAATTTAATAATGAAAATTTTCTCTATAGAATAATTTACTAATTAATATTAATCAATTATTATCAATTAATTTCTATTTTTGTAATTTTACATCACATAAGATAATTAGATATATTATATAATATATTTATAAAATTTTGTTTTATTATCAAATTTGAATTTGAAATCTTTACTATTTTATAAATTTTTCATTTATTTTAATTAACATCACAATTTTACATCATATCTTATAAAATTATTTATTTATTAATAATATGAATCATTCAATTTCTATTTTTATAATTTTACATCATCAAATAGATAATTAAATGTATTACGTAATGTATCTGTAAAATTTCGTTTATTTTATTATCAAATTTGAATTTGAATCTTATAAGATATTATAGATAATACGTATTCATTTAATTCTATAAAAAAAAATCCAAAAGTTATAATTTTGATTTCGAAGGAACAATCACATCTGATTTTTATCTTTACTTTCCTCTAACAATTTTAACCAAATTTTAACCAATCATATCCGCCCGAATTAATTTTAATTATTTTATTGATTCATTATTATTGTATTATTAGATATGGTTTACTAGGTGCCAGTGGGTGCGGCAAAAGTACTCTACTTTCTTGCATAGTTGGCGTCAAAAAATTAGATAGTGGTCAAATTACGGTGCTTGGTGGTGAACCTGGAAGTAAATGTTCCGGAATCCCAGGACCTCGCGTTGGTTATATGCCTCAGGATATTGCATTGGTCGACGAATTTTCTGTAATAAATTCCTTTTATTTTTTTGGAAGAATCAATGGCCTAGACACTGAAGAAATCGGTAATTTGAGAATCTTAAAATAATTTATTTTTAAAATTTTGTTAAAAATTAAATTTAACAGTTAATAAATATTTAAATGTTGTTTTACTTCATTTACAGAAAATTTTTGTCATATAAAGCATCTCAGAATTGATTTGAATTGTAAAACTAGAGTTCATAAAATATATAATTATTCCAAAAAATAAATTATGAAAGAAGTTATAAACGAATATTTTTTTGTTACTTAAGTAAGAATAATATGAAAATAATATGAAGAAAATATAAAGAAAATTTTTTGAAAATCATATGATTAAAAAATATCTATTTTTAATTAAAAAATATTGATTATAAAATAATTTGGTGATAAAAATTATCGATAAGAAAAATTTATTTCAGTTGCTTAAAATATTTTGTTTTTTAAATGGGACAATATAATTTTTTAAATCAATTTCATTCGACAATTTTGTCCTCTAACTTTTTTCTATCTGTAATAATTTTCGTATTATAACTTCACACTATCATGGATATTCTGTATTTTACGTAAAAAGGTTATTTAATTATTGCTTTATAATTACATAATAAATTATTTATTGTAATTAAATAATGTGTGTGACTATTTATCTAAAATTATTTATTTATATGAATATTTATTATTATTAATATTGATTTAGAAAAACAAGGTTTGAA